CTTACCACTGTACCAACTCCATGATACAAATCAGCTCACCATTTATAGCATCCAGATGATACGGTAGCCCAATTTCTGACATGGAGAGTGAGAGGGTGCACATGAAGCAACAGATGACCTAAGGGTGAGATGAGACATTGAGATGCATGCTCGCTGCAAGGTATTGGTACCCAGAGTAGGATGCAAATTTGCTTCTTCATGTGAATCTCCCTATTTTTGATGGCTGACTTTTCTGGTCCGGCGTCATGCCACAGCTGCATCAAGAGATTCACCTTTCACCGTCTCAAACCACCACATCTGCAATCTGACATCGAGCAGCAGATGCTCAACTCCTGCACTATCGCTGGTGCTGATGCCTGAATGTTCATTCCTGGGTGTGTTGCTGTCACCATTTTGAACCATGTCAGTTATTTTATGTTTGCTGTGTGATTTCCAGATGTTCAAGTGAGCCCCCTGGATTGCTTCAAACTCCCTCAACTCCACAGAGGTGCTAAGTCTCAGTTAAATAACCATGGTCTTCATATCACAATATTTGAAAGGGTACATGAATTCCCCAGTGGTGTTTCAGCAATGATCCCAAACATATTTATATTGGTATCCGTATTTCCACCTCATCAAATGACAGTGAAAGGCAAGCTTGTCCACAAGCATTAACCAGCTTCAGCCTTAAGACTCATTCCTCACGTCATCAAGCTATGCATGCACGAACATGCTTTGCTCACCTTGTAATCACATTGGATGGGTCATCATCCATAAGCCAGTCGGTGTGATTCAGGTGAGAAAGCAAGGGTGGGATATTGAACGATGCGAGCAAATGAATCGAGGATGGATTGCTGAGGAACTGAAGCAGTGCACTGTCAGTCGACTTTCCTCCTGCACCCTGCCCAAGCAATCATGTGAATGACTGTCATCGCACAGAGAAAAGAAAGACCAGTGGTTGATGCAAATGTGGGTGGGCAGCTAGTACTAGTATATAGAGATATTGAGGATATCAATTTAAACATTGTCAGCACGTATAGCAAATCACTTGATTAAATAATGACAACTTTGTATGTCTCCTTGGAATCTACTTGGGGACACCAAATAATACATGAAAGTGGGAATAAATAAAAACAAATTATCCTACTGCTTGCAGAGCACTAGACGACTGTTAACTTCACCAAGTATCACACACCACTGCCAGTCGATATATGCACACGCTCCTGGAAAGCGATTGAGGTCATAACAGTCGCTGTGTCGGCATCGGCAACAAGCTTAGCGTGGTATTCTCGAATGCCAAGGATCAGGCGCGGTCCCAACACAAACATCTGCACGACCCTGAGAATCTGAAGAACCCCAGAAATAATATAAGTGTCCAGTAAATTGTCCTATAGAAACGATAAATTATGGTAGCGTGCATAGGTAAGTGGAAGATTAACATACCGTTGAGAATACTGGAGTGAAATCAACAATGAGCTCGAAGCAACAAACAACAACAAAACTACCATGTCCGACACTTCAGTGGTAAAACGGAACAATAATCACAGCATGAGCTCACCTCGCAAAGTAAACCACGTGACTTTTTATCAACACCGTGAAACAGCCGCTTATAATCTCTCCTGCCAAATGTTGCCGCAGTTCACGGAAGTGTTTTACCGCAATCCAGATTGCGAGACACAGTGCGAGGACCTCCCACGCGGTGCCGAGTATCCAAGTAGCAGACATAAGAAGTAGGATATCTTTCGTATAGTCAATCTGGCACTGATGAGTGCCGGAGAGAATGAATCCCTCTGAAATTCATCAATGAGCCCCATGCACATTGATTTCCATCTACAATTAAGCTCACCCTCTGAAACCCGCATCGTCGTCATTACGGTGGTCACTCCGTTAAGAATGCTGACAGCCAGGAAGGTGACAATGAGAATCATCAGGATTTTTCTGGATTGCTGATACATGGCATGCAACCGAGTGATGATGATGACTTGCAGCATGTTTCAGTCAAGTCAAAACCGCTGAGGTCTCGCAAGTGTCAAGCTTACCCGACAGCATTGCATATGCCACATCAACTGTCCAATCCCATACCATGTACGAAATTAGGCCTGACGAATCCAGTGAGCGACCAGCCTCGGGTAGCGCACACTCCAAAAAGACCCACATCTGTGGCAGTATAGCACGACAGTCATTAGTGAACTAATAAATTATTGAAGAACCACACCCACTCCTACAGGACACTACGGTTAATTGGAGGGAATGGCAGTGATATGTGCAGAAGACTCACTGTGTCTGACAGCAAGATGGTTGGAACACTCTCTGAATGCCATTGGTCAGACGAAGCAAAGACAACGAATGTACTGAGACATACCCAACATACACATGCTGATTATGAGAGATAGACGATTAGCACGACACCGATTGTGTACTAGCCCTCCGAACATACGTAGCAGATAAGATTCCAAGGTAGCGCGCCTAAAATACTCTCAAGTCAGCACAACATGGCAACCGTGACAAATAAGGTACGTGCGCTGAGATACAGAGCTGTCATTAGGGACCAACGTTGTCTCTGGAATCAAATGTATTTTCGTGTGTTCCTATGACGCCAGACTCTACTCACCCAGATCAGTTCCACCTATAAAACCATTCTCAGCGAGATGGCTGCTCTGTTCGTAGCGTCGACATACCTCTTGTCCCAATGTAAGTGCTGAAAGTACTTGTAAGAAACCAGCAGTCCTTGAATATCATCATGCTCACCCCAATCGTATGTCATTCCAACGAAGGCGGCAACTGCAAGGCAGCAGTAGAGGTTAGATTGAAATATTGGCAGCATCAAATCCGACTGCTCTCTACGAACCTATAAAATAGCTAGAAGAACGATGTGCATTGATGGTCGGCCACCAAGCGGCATCATTAGAAAATATAGTCATATTGGTAGAGAACTGGGTGTGGATGAGAAGAAAACTTGGTACATTAGTATGACAATAACATTCGCACTATATAGTGCGAAATGAGATAAACGGGTGATACCTGTGCAATCCGAGTAGATGATGCAGTCGCATGGTCATCAGGCTGTTATGATAAGAATGCTGATGAAAATGGTACTAGTGCAGAATCTTCAATTTGCAATGCGGTCATGAGAGTCGTAACGTTCACTCCGTTTGATGCCAAGTTTTTGTATTCCTTATATAGTCAACTTGGGACCATGCCTATCGGAGTGCCAACTCTTCCCAAGCAGACGAGTATGGGAGGTACGACCACTTGTTAATACATGTGGACAACCCGAAGAAAGGCAAGCTTGGGCTACATACCTTTTACACGTGCACTAGCGAAAAGCTCAGTACTAGTTGTTAGCGAACAATACTGAGGCGTCGACATGGGGCACGACGGTATCGCTTAGTACCGGATCCGGAGTGGCTCACATGTGTCATATGGTGCGAGAAGTGAGTGGAACGTATTGCATCAAAGGCGCAAGATAATGGAGGCTCCATAGTGCTGGTGATGCTATATACGATGAATCAGTGATATCACCTAAATTTCTTCTTGCGAAGAACATCGTCGTCGGGAAATGAAGCACAGGTTGTCATAGCAGTGAGGAAAGAACCGTTAATAAGAGAGAAAACTGTGAGGGCGCAGCATAGATAACGATCAGTACGTAGAAGGGTAACTTGAAAACTTTATTCCCACCCTTCCTTGGATTCTGGATACACGCCGTCTAACAGACCAGACAACGGGCGAGCCTTGGCAGGTGAGCGCTTCCGCGTGGCGGGCCATCAGAGAACGAACCTGTGAGAAGAAGATATCGTCATATATCGTTATATATCGTAATATATAGGAAAGGTTTTCGTCACATTGGAATATAAAGTGATACTATCCCTTCCACTGCAATCGGCACCCCACAGAAGTCGGCACTTTCACAAAACTCGTATTTCTAGCTACTTAAACACAAAATTCTTAACATCTGTATCATTCTCTCTCTAATACAACTCATTACGAGGTTGAACGACCACGATTAAAGCAGAATTGAGTGAGATAGTCGAAAGTGCCGAAGTCACGCGGAAATGTCACCTGCCGATACATGCCATGACGGAGTTTCAAATTGCACCCCCACTTTGGAAGTGCCGACTGGTGCAGCGCTGCGCGTCCGCATTCGCAAGTTTAAGTTAGCAGCGGTAGACGAGGAAAGCTGCGAGCTTCGTCAGACCCGACATATGAGCCACGCATTCAGGTTTCAATTCAGAGAATTGCAAATGGGTTATACTGCAGCAAAAGAACAGAATGTGAGTCGTGTTTCGTCATGTTACAATGCACATGGTCTCCCTATATATCCACCTCGATTTTACAACTACGGCACTAATAACAGTCGCCCTCGTACTTAGGTATATCTACTATTCAATACTATACTTGCTCATTCGAACGAATACTAATTGACCTTGCCCACTTGCTTGACTGCCGAACTGACTTTAAAATTGGCCTACGTGACATATCATGACTCACAGTGACATTTGCGTGACTGCCGACTTCTGTGGGGTGCCGATTGCAGTGGAAGGGATAGTATAAAGCAATATATGACTATGTAAAAGCACCATAATCAGCATAATCCCCAGCAAGAACTCACCGGTTTACTGATGCGCCCGCCTGGTCCTGTTGTTTTGTTTGAAAACATATTCATCGTGCACTAGGCTCGCATCACTCGGTTCTCCATGATGGCGTTGCCTTGGTGGACGGTCAAGTTAAAGACAGGACTTCTCATGCATCTAGCATGAACGAAATCTCAAATACAGGGTGTATCGTGCGCAGCCGTAACTCTCAGCGTAAGCCCAGTGAGCGGTGGCAATAAATGCAAACCAGTGCACGGCGTGAGTTGCTCTTTTCGAGGTCACAGTCACGGTGTTGCTGCTTTCAGACATATACCAACATCAGGAATACAAGCATGACAGCGTAGACGTATACAGCAGCTATATCACTCTAGTCTAAATACAAAATACAGCCTCGATTGTGTTACGATGGAACATCCACTCCTACGCTTCTCACGTCCCACTGTCGTCTGAATCAGTCTCCCATAGCTTATCCGAATTGTCGTAAGGGGAGTTCCGAAGCGTCATTAGTTGCGAATATGCTTCCTCCAGTGCTAATCGCAGATCAATATCGGCAGCGCAATTCCTCACGTAACGCTCGTAAAATTTGAAATCCCATAGAGTTGGAAATACATCGGCCAGAAAATATGGTATGTGTGCAACTTCCGACACCCGGGAGTACCCAAGATGCAGGTTGCGAAGGGTGGTTTGCGTAGGCCAAAGCTTCTCGGTCCCGCCCGGGGCTCGAGGAATCGTCGTCGATTGCGTAGCATCCACCGTCAGATGTAGGGTCTGCAGCGATCTGCACCTTGACGCCAATGATATCATGGCGGTGAAGGTGACGCTATAAGAGGCCCGTCTCTTCCAGGAGATGAACTTCAATTCCTGGATACCCGGCCAGGCAACTGGGACATCATTGAGGAAACTATCGTCAAGTTCGAAATTTCCAATGCCGATGAATTTGACAGACGACAGCCCCTTGAACTTGAACGATGGCCGGAAACTTTCGGAGTGGAGTGGGATGACGAGCAGATAATCAGGATGCTCTGATTTGTCGATCACATAGATCCGTTCCAAATGTTCAAAAATTGGCACGACGTCGCCAGGGATTCCACGAACGCGGTGACTTCGGCCGGGCTAGCAGATCCACGATAGCTGATATTGATGTGCGATAGTTGTCGGGTGGCGACTTGACGAAGGAAGTGCGTGCACTGTGGCAAGGAACCCTCAGAGAGATAGAGGGTTTTGAGACTAGGCAATTCAAGGGGTATACCACTCGCATCGCAGGAGGCTCCGCACAAATTGAGCTTGAAGATATGAAGACATCGTGCTTGCTGGATATTGGTGATCGTCTGCCTCGTCAAGGACACATCGATTCCGAAAATGGCCAGTCTAATCAACTTCGGCAGCTTTCCAAGACTCGGGGAGATTGTCAAAGCCGTAGTACCATTGCCCGACGATACTGTCAGTTGGCGCAGACCGTGCGCTTCTGCGGGAAGAGCAGCAAGTAATTTCTCCACTTATGCATTGGGATGCCAGTTACATCAAACCGGAGCGCTTGCAATCTAGGCGAAATGAACTGCCGAAGCAGCCAGAATTTTGAGCTATGTTCCAGAAGACCAAACACGGCCTCAAAATGCAATTCGCAAAGGTTCGGGAAGAGTGTGGTAGGGGGGAACTGCTCGAAAAGCCTCTTCAGGACATGACCAATGATATCTGGGCGCAGGATAGGGCAAAATAGATCCAGGGCACTACCAATGCCATCTGTGCGCCGCCTAAGCACTGGACCGCGAAATAGCTTCGCTGCGTCATTGAAGCCATCGATGCTTACAAGTCTGCGTACTCTTGATACGTTCACTCCGAGGCGCTCCCACTCGGTGGGAGTTGGCTCTCTGGAAGAATGCTACAAATCAGAGCACGGTGAGTATTGTCCTGTCAGTCAGTCGCATATCAACTTCGAGAACTATAAAGTGCACCTTTGTATTGGGGAATGAAACCACTGAATATTCTGAAGAGTGAATCCCTCGTAGGTATACCATAGTTATCGACTCACCACTTGGATGCAACATTGACAATCAAAACAACCTTCCCTTTGAGTTGTTCAAAGTCATACGCTTGCCCGCTAGGCAGCTCTGTTTTCAAGTGTTTCCATAGGAAGAAGACATTGTTCGTCGTGAAAGTGAAGATAGTGGTTGGAGACGTGAGGGCGCAGTGACGCACTGTCGGAATGACTGAAACGACCGGTGAGTCCCATGGAGTGTCCTGTGGTAATAATATCGATGTTGGAATATTGGGTAACGAAGCGTGATTTGTATGTTATTCACACGGTCCACACCTGGGTATGCTAACATCCAAAATTCAAATCGAAGTGAGTACTTACTAAGTACTTAGTCCTCAGCCATGGATGCAATGCTGGCATCCCACTCTTTCAAAGCCTAACCAAGGCCACTCGATGAAATCGTACAGCTGATCGACTTTTGTTCACATCTACATTCACGGTGAGTGTCCCATCCTTTTGCGATTGTTTTCGCTAAGCAAACCCATACAGAATCGGCTTTGTATAATCTGTTAGCATGCAAGGACTCCAATGCCACAAGAATTCTCAAGTCTCGAATCTTGATCGTCAACCTGAGTTCTGAGGTGTCGGTGTAGTCTCCGGCGTCGTTATAGTAGCTTATTCATGCGAAATATAGAGGGCGTTTCAAACTACATTCCCAATGTGAGTCAACAGAAGAGCATCAACTGCATGATGGATTCAGTGTGGCGCGTTTTGGATTGGTTTTCATCTGAATAAGCGTTGGTGGCGTGCATTGATAGCTGTATGACTCGGTGAGTTATTCCCTCAACTTCTTCAAATCACCAACTTTCTGATGGTGTGCCAACAGAATGTTATCGCCTTCAGCTATTGTGCATCTGAGCACCATTTTCTCTCATCTACTCTTTCAACGCTCTCTTTATATAGGGGTGATTTTGTATATTCATCATATATCAGTCACAGAATCTCACGTCTCTGGTGAAACCTGCCACCGCACCAACTTCACGATACAAATCAAATATTCCGCGCTCACCATTTCTGACATCCAGATGATACGTTAGCCCAATTTCCGAGGTGGAGAGCGAGAGGGTGTGCATGAAGCAACGAATGACCTAAGGGTGAGATGAGACATTGAGACGTATGCTCGCTGGGAGGTATTGGTACCCAGAGTACGATGCGAATTTGCCTCTTCGCGCGAATCTCCCTATCTTTGACGGCTGACTTTTCTGGTCCGGTGTCATGCCGCAGCTACATCGAGAGATTCACCTCTCACTGTCTCGAACTCACCATCACGTCTGCAACCTAACATCAAGCAGCAGATGCTCGACTCCTACACTATCGCTGGTGCCGATTCCTGCATCTCAGTTCCTGGGTGCGTCGCTGTCGCCATTTTGAACCACGTCAGTTATTTTTATGTTTGCTGTGCGATTTCCAGACGTTCAAGCGAGCCCCCTGGATTGCTTCGAACTCCACTGACTCCACAGAGGCGCTGGGTCTCAGTCAAAGAATTATGGTCTTCATATCACAGTGCTTGAAAGGGTACGTGAATCCCCCAGTAGTGCTTCAGCAACGATCCTAAACATATTTATATTCATATCCGTATTTCCCCCTCGTTGAACAAAAGTGAAAGGCAAGCTCGTCCACAAGCATTAACCAACTCCAGCCTCAAGCATCATCAAGTATCCCTCACGTCATCAAGCTACACATGCACGAACGTGCTTCGCGCACCTTGTAATCACCTTGAATGGATCATCATCTGTAAGCCAGGTCGGTGTGATTCAGGTGAGAAAGAAAGGGTGGGACATTGCATGAGGCGAGCAAACGAGGATGGAT